GGGAGAGGGAGGTCTGGGCCTCCCTTCTGAAGCTGCTGCCCCCGCGACCCGACCCCGGATAGGCGGAAGAAAATGGATGGATGGATGGACAAAAACAACAAAGTAAAAATCCCAGAAACGAGGGCAGTAAAGTTATTTTTCATGAAATAAAAATATTTAATAATTTTTACAAACTGCAGATTTTGCTGTGCTTGATGCAAGCAGCAGACTGGTACCGGTCCACAGAACCTGGGTTCTGTTCAGAAGAACCCGTTCCACCTTCAGGTTCTGGGYTTGGTAGCGAAGGTCAGGTAACCTGTGTGACCCGGCATCTCTCTGGGAGGCGTGGTCGTCTTCAGGCTGATGGAGGCGTGGCTTGAAACGGTAGTGGGAGGGGCCTCTTCCGTGGCGCCGGGCTCAGCGGGAGCGGCCGGGTCCGGGCCGAAGTCCGGCAGAGGCAGGGAGACGGTTCTGACATCGTGGACCCTCAGCAGAACCTCCAGGGAGCTGACCTCCTGGAAGCCGTGGTCCACCAGCGCCTCGCACGTCCTCTGGACCTGCTCGATGCACGGCGAGAAGGAGCAGAGCCGACCTCCTGCAGGAGACCCACACAGACCAGAACCACATGAGACCGCTGGGGGTCCGAGGAGACCATCAGARCTAATGTTGGACCCTCAGAGTCCTRATGATGACTCTCAGCYACTACTGARTTTTATCAAACATCTAGAAAAAGATCAAACCTGATTCAAGATGGCCGCCACCTCCAACATCAGCTAATACCCAGTTTATCACCGAGCTAAAGATGTGGTTGTAGCTGAGAGCTAGCTGTAACAGATGTTATGAGGAGATWTTCATTCCTTCGGCTGTTTCCTGGTAGTTTTAGCTGCTCTCTCTGCCTTTTTATTGGTTTTTATTTCAGCTTACAGAATAAAAGTTCAATCAGCTGATTTAAACTGTCATAAAAAATAATAAAGTTTGTGTTTAGTGGACCTGGAGGTGAACAAAGTTCTAAAGCTGGACTCGTAAACCGGATCAGAACCGTGGTTTAGATCACGTTGTTCGCCTCTGAACTTTGACCCCAGGTTCTGAAGCTCCGCCTCCAGAACCACACTTTGATCTGTATCAGGTTCTGAACGTGACGGACTGAACTTCCCACGAGGCCGACAGAGGAACGGTTCTCCTCTGAGGAGGTCTTTGTGTCCCGCTGACCCATCGGACTGCAGCCCGTTCCCGGCTCTGAAACAAGCAGAACTTTATGGTCTCCTGGTAACCGGGTCGAACAGCCGGGCCGCTGTGGGGTTGATCATTACACAACATRGTTATTAAAACCATTAAACCAGGAGCGACACAGGTCCTCTGGTGTTGGTCAGCTTATACAACCGTTTATACAAACAGAACTCAAAGGTTCTGCTGAGAGCCGGGCCAGAACTTCAGGAAAATTACAACTCAGAGGAAAACAGAGACATGTTTCTGCTTCTCAGCTCAGGAAAGAAAAAACTCAAAGCAACTTTTCTTCCAGCCTGAGAGGCTCAGATGGACTTAAACTAAAACTAAGTTTACAGAACAAAYGCTGAGTCATCATTTTTCTCTGTACACCTTTTAAAAATCAAAACTTCTGCTTCTATTTTAATCAGAAATCAAAATGTTTGGTTTGATCAGGAATAGTTTTTGTAACATTTAACTCAGAAATGCTGGGAGGAGTTCCAGCTGCTGCTTCAGACTTGTCCTTTTATGGTCCTTTAGCTTCTGCTTTTCTAATTTTACTGTTTATTTACAGTCAAACGCTGCATTTTCAGGGTTTAATTTGTAAATCGTTCCATCTTTTGTGATTTGGTGGAAGAGTTTTTAGTTTGTGACAAACAGGAGAGTCTGAGGCGTCAGAATAAATGAATGTTTTCATGTGAGCCACGATCAGCAGCTCTCTGCTCGCAGCTAAAACCCAGTTTGGTCATGAGGCAGCCTGCCATTTATCTGTGTGTGTGTGTGTGTGTGTGTGTGTGTGTGTGTGTGTGTGTGTGTGTGTGTGTGTGCGTTTCTACTACAGAGTGAGGATCATTTGCTCCATAGTTACTATCAAGGTGAGGTCTTTGATGTAAAGTGAGGACCTCTTCCTCACTTTGCAGCTCTGCTGTGCTTTACTAGTTAGGTTTAGAGGTATGGAGTGAATAAAGTTCTGGTTCAGGTTAGAGTTAACTATAGACCAGTAATGGTTAATTTTACTAATTAGGTCAGGTTTAGGGTTAGCGGTAGGTTAGGGTCAAGGTACCTGTGAGGTTAGTTTARGGGTAAATGGTCAGGGTTAGGATGTAAAATTACCAAAAAATGAATGGAAGTCAATCCATGGTCCCCACGGGGATACAAAAACAAACCTGTGTGTGTGGGCCTGTGTATATGAATGCCAGCAGCTTATAAAAGGGAAATGAAACTGTGGCTCCATAAAAGGGAGTTGGTGGTGGTGAGGAGGGAGGCGGGTTGAATTCTTCAGTAAACTGGGTCAGAGTCCAGAACCAAACTGGTTTTATGTCCTTTAAGACAGGGGTTCTCAAACCTTTTGCGTCTGRGGACCCCTTATAATGGCGAAAAAAATTCCAGGGACCCCCACATAAACCCCATGCTTTAGAAGATTATTTATTGTCATTTCAACCCCTAAATGTTGTGGGAATGTACAGTATATATATTTTTTTTTTAATTAGTTTATTATGTTTTTTATTAGTTCATTGTTTCCCATGCATTTAAAAAAATAAAAACCAAATTAACAATTGAGTGAAATTTTTTTGAGGACCCCCAAGATGCCTATCGCAGACCCCTGGGGGTCCTGGGACCCCAGTTTGAGAACCCCTGCTTTAAGAAACTCAAAACTATTAGTGTTTGTTGGTAAATGGACTGAACTTAYAGAGCCCAAAGTGCTTTWCACTAACAGACATTCACCCATTCACACTCACATTCACACACTGAYGGTGGTAAGCTACATTGTAGCCACAGCTGGCCTGGGGCACACTGACAGAGGTGATCATTGTTATGATCATTCAGCCAACCAACATCCATCCATCCAACATTCATCCATCCATAATGAATGTTTACCAGCTGTTAGTTAGTTGTTTCTTCAGTGGACCATTCCTTTTTTAAAAACRTTTAGACGTTGAACAACAGTCGATGAGTTTCAGCTCGGAGCGTTTCAGTGAACACTGGGCCTGTTCAGACACGCTGCAGGTCCTGGTTACCTCGGAGACCCTGACACACTTTCTGATCCGTTGGTTTTGTTCTGCTGTAACTGTAAACTGACATGAATGGGGTGGGYGGTGGTTCTGGAGCAGAGAGACCAAACCAGGGAGTGGAGGGTGGATCTAAAACCTGATCGGTCACTTTCCCACAGAGGCATGAGGAGTCACAGAAACACCCCCATCAGGTGGGCGGGATGGTCTGTGGTAACATGTTCAGCAACATGCCACTGCACACTTCCTGTGGTTCTCATGCTCCTCATGTTTAAACCGTTTACAGACACGTGTGTCTGGTCACCAGTGGAAGTGATGTCAGCAGGTCCACCTGGAGGTCAAGGATGGACTATCTGAACCAGACAAGTCAACAAAACACAACCCCTCCTGCCCCTCACCCACCGTGCCTCTTCAGAGCAGCCTTGGCGTGCCCCACCGCCTCCCAGGGGCTGGGGATGTCCAGGAAGACGGCGTCGGCCACCCCACTCACTCCGAAGCCGTCCTTGCACACGTCCTGGTTCCTGACGGTGACCAGGTGATCCACCCGGTGCTCCTGGAACTCCTCGGCCACCTTCTGGGCCCGCTGCTCGTGAAACTCCACCGTGTGCAGGTGACCCGACGGGGCGATGGTGCGCAGGATGGCGTGGGACAGGGAGCCGCTGCCGGTACCTGGACACAGGACAGGAGGACAGTCTGAGGACAAATACCAGCTTCTGATCAAACTAAACTCAGATTTTATTATCTTCTGTGAAACAACGGTGGCAGGACTACAAATTATATACGTCCAGATTACAGATTATATACGTCCAGATCACAGATTATATACATCCAGATTACAGATTATATACGTCCAGATCACAGATTATATACGTCCAGATCACAGATTATATACGTCCAGATCACAGATTATATACGTCCAGATCACAGATTATATACATCCAGATTACAGATTATATACGTCCAGATTACAGATTATATACGGCAGACACATCCAGCTGATTGTCTCAGAGGACACAGCTGTCTCATGTGATTTACAGACGAGGGTGGGCGATGGAGTCAGAACCAGTACATCCCATCCTCCACCCAGACTCTTCCTCCTCCTCCTCTTCCTCCTGACATGATGTCATCATCGGCGCCTTTTGTTTGGGCCGCCACAAAGAGGGCAGTGTTTATCCCACAGCTGAACTTTGACAGAACCCTCAGAGTTGGACCGGATGACGAGTGGCTGCTAACGAGCAGCAGCGTGAAGAAGGTTTCAGAACGCAGCTGTTAAATATCTCATCACTGAGTTTTTATCTCTAATGAAGAACTTCATGGTTTCCTGAATTAAAGATGGACTWAAACTCCTGAGTAACTAAACCACTGTAGATTATTATAGATTAAAACCATTTAAAACTACAGCACAATTTATCTCAAACAAGTACAAAAATAAAACAATAAAACTGAACTGACTGTGTGTCAAACAAAACAAAAATCACTGCTGCAGTAAATTCTTCCTAAACTGTGTGTCTGCACTGCCCCAACACTACTACAACCTGACTAAATATAGTTTTAATCATTTTCTTAAGCTGATCGATGCATCTGCTTCTTTTGTTATCATCTAAACCACGTGTCAAACTCAAGACCCACRGGCCAACTGAGGCCCACGGGCGACTCCCRTCTGGCCCAACAAGCCCAACAGCTGCTTTAAAGCCAGCATGGAGCATAAACTACATCTCCCACRATGCATGCTGATTATACATGGGAACTCATGCTGCGTTTCAGTTGTCCTCAGAGGTCGTAGCTTCGAGCCTCAGTTCTGTTTTTCAACTGGAACGCCCCCTGAAGTCGTAGTTTCGAGTCGAGAGGTCGGCACATCCAAACCATACCCGAGCAGCCCGAGCATGCATTACATCATCATTTCAACATGGCTGCTGCGTGCATGAAACTGTCAGCGGTCGCGCTATCATTAGCATGTTTCTCTAAGCTAACGGCTAACGTTGAGCTGTAATCAAACGTACACAAGCACCATCCCCATTATTTAACGGACAGAAAGTAAGAAGAGAGGAGGCAGAATAAAAATAAGTGTAATTAATTTGTTTATTTTCCCTTTTTATATTTGTTTAACGTATGTAGCACACTAGCATGCTTGTCCGAGCTAACCRCTAACGTTGCTAATCTTGCATGTAAACAAACGYGKCTTTGTTCTGTGTTRTTTATTTTACATTAYGTCAGACGTGCTYGTAGTGCTTTAYAGTGATAGTTAAAATATATGTTTTAACACYGTTTGTASACTCAAAATACCTCGTAGAGCACTATTATTGTACGTTTTATTGTTGCAGAGCAAAATAATAGAAACGCTTTTTYCGATGTTTGAAACTGGAACGCTGTCAGCTCAGAACTGACGKCAGTCCGGCTTCAGGATTTCGAGGTCCGATCCAACTGGAACGCAGCATTAGTGTCTGAAAGTGGGAGAGTGCAGAGTTCAAACGGCAGCTCCTCACCACAACTCAGTCAGTAAAACTTTTACTTTATTTCACATTTATTCAGTGGTACTCAGTGCTTTCAGTGTTTATAAGAGTTAAAACTCTGTTTAGTCAAAGTTAAACATGAAACATTAAAGTTAACTACAACTGGCCCTTTGAGGGCCACCGTAACGCTCATGTGGCCCTCAGTGAAAATGAGTTTGACCCCCCYGATCTAAACGGTTCCACAAAATAAAATAAACACTCTTTACTTTAGTCAAAGGGTAGTTTTTAAAGATATATTGTCCTCTTAGATTAGACTCATCTCTGTTCATCAGATCTTCTGAATGAAACCAGGAAGGAAACTATTCTTTGCCTTTGTAGTTTTTGAACAGTTCTAAACGTCACACACTTGGACTTAATAAAGTTTTATGTTGTCTGTAGACAACAGTGTTTGAGTTTACATGATGACTGCAGTGTTTTATAAACATTTCCTCAGACCTCCACACAGAAGGTGAGGAGAACACTTCACATTACACAAACCTTTTTGTTCCAGAGTTTTATTCAAATTCAGTCATAATCTGTTGTCATTAAACYCTATTTTTAATTTATTTAATTTCATTTTCAAGTCAAAATAAATCCACTTGTTTTGAAACAATAAAAACTGTGGACAGATCAGTCTGAGAGGCTGCAGAAACATCTGCTGGAGTTTTATTTCGAAAGCGGGTCAGATCCGGCTCACTTCAGGATCTTGTTGCAGAATAATGAACAGGAAGGAGGAGAATCCGCCCACCAGAACCAGAACTTCCTGCTCCAACAGGAAGACCCGACATGTGCGCTCAGACCCTACAGATCTATAAAAACTGAAGCAGAAGCTCAGCTTTAAGCTCCGCCCCCCTGATGGGACGGTCTCAGGTCATTCTCAGGTGTTGATGCAGRTAGATGTGACCTCACTGTTTCTGGTTTTATTCAGCATCAGAACAAGAAAAGAAAGAATTATTTAAAGAAAAGAGTTGGAGTGGTTTGGTGAAGCAGGAACATGTGAGCAGCAGCTGCTTGGAAACAGTCGACAGTAAAAAATAAAGGAGGAAGCTGAAAAAGTGACGAATGGTTTCCTTCAGWACCAGGAGAGAATCGGAGCGGTTCTGGTTCAGCAGATGGACTCTGACTCACAGCTGAGTCTGAGCTGAAGGAACAGAACCAAATGAGACACAAATCCCTTCTTTCTACCAGGAGATCCTCTGAGAACAAAGAACCTGCTGGTTCTGAGTCGTTTGGGTCGATCCGGCTGAGCTCAAAGCTCTGTTCAGGTGGTTCAGACGAGACCACCAGAACTGGACTCCTGCTGGGTTTATTTCTGGTCCCAAGGTTGTTGTTCGGACCGGAGCGGCGGCCCTGAACTGGACGTTTGTCGGCTGCGTGTGAATTTTACCTCCTCGGAGTGAAGCTGAGGCACGCGTCACCGAGGCCTGCGTTAGAACCGGGTCGGCACGACGCCGCCTCTCCTGCTGATGGTTAYCAACACGAGACAAATGAGACGCTGATCCGTCCCTCAGTGACACCAGAGTGTTGTTCTCCCACATACATGTTAGATAAAGCTTTTAATAATAAATAAACTTCACATTTTACCCACCAACAACTGTTCCAGATGGTTTTATTTTACCTCTCCTGCAGGTCGATGGATGTTTGTTTTATATACAAATAAAATGAGAAAGACTGAGGAAACAGATGATCAGGTGATTGAATGTTTACCTTGTTTACCTGCTTCAACACATCTGATTCACAGAGTAACAAGTTTCTGCAGAACCCGAAGAGGAAATTTAATCACTCATTCATTCAAATCAGGTGTTGGAGCAGAGAAACCTTWAAACCAGGGTTATTCAACTGGTGACCCGAGTGACCAAAGTTCGGCCCGTCAATTGGTTCATTCATGTTTTAAGCCCAAASCCCTGGTTTCTATTTAGTTAAACATAGACATGTTTGGTGTCTGCAGGAAACATCAGAACCTTGGCTACAAGATGGTAAAAACCATCTATAAATACCCAAAACAATTAAAACTACAAGGAGTTGAAGATAAAACTATGAAAGTGAAAATAAAATTGGTTTAAATATTTGGCAAGTCAGAGACGTCAAAGTATTATTTGTCTTAAATAGGCATGTCCGATAATATCGACCTGCATATATTATCAGTCTGATATGAACATAAAAATGTAAAATCTCTACGTATCGGTATCAGTTTTTATTCCGATAATAAAAGCCTGATAAATTAACAGCTGGATTTGACCAAAATGTGTTAATAAATGCTCGTAGTTCAGAGACGTTCACCAGGAGAGCATGATCCAAACTACTGTTTGAGACAAAATGTTATAAATTAATATAACACGTTTTCCCTAACTTCAGTTAAATGGTTTTTATTTTGTACAGACAATGTTTATCTAAGGAATGCATCCAGTCAGGTATCAAAAAGCACATAATGTTCCTGACAGGAGATATGTGATGTCACCTTAACATCATATTAGTTAATATTGGAATAGGAAATTAAGTGTTGAACAATATCAGCATATTGAATATCGACAAAAAAGTCAAAATTGAGCACCTCTGGTCTTAAATGAGGCCTAAAATGTCCTTTTTGTTTTTGTTGTTTAATTATCACTACTTTTATAGGGTTCTGTATGTTGTATTCATAATTAAATGAAGCTAAATAAACTATTTCAAAGGTAACAGATCTTTGTAATACTTGGTTTATTTACATCATAACTAAGTGCTGGGTGTTCGGCCCCTCAGCTGTTGACCTGCAGTAACTGTGGCTCTGTTGTGAACCCTGCAGGACAGCAGTCCTGGAGGACCAGGACAGGACACTCCTGCTCTCCAGAGACAGCCTGGGTGGAGGTTACAGTAATGACACCTTTTAAGRTTTTCAGAGCGTAATCGGCCATTTTAGCCACAATAACAGGCTTTAGCTGCAGATTTGGGTCACTGATAAAAGCAGCTGACTCCTGCAGGTTTTCCTTCCTCCAGCAGAACCACAGGTGGAACTTTAAGGTGTGGTTTTATGGATGTGTTGCTGCAGCCACCKGAGACCAGCAGCTGAGATTACATCACTTTTATTCAGCCTTTTTCACCTTTGGTTACTATAAAGCCTTCAGGATAACATGAGTCTCACAGCGTCAGTAACATTAGCCATGTTGAAGCAACACYTGTCGTCTCACCACAGCACTGAAACAACCCTTTAAGAGTTTTTAATGATCTTCTTTTAACAGCTGATTCTGGAAGCTCTGCGGTTTTAGTGCTTTTAGATCTTTCTGCTGCCTTTGGTACCGTTGATCGTAACATTTTGCTGTCACGATTAGAGCAGCTGGTTGGTATCAGAGGCACAGTTTGATCCTGGTTTACAGCCTACTTGACAAACAGGAGTTTTTCTGTGCATCTAGGTGAATGCACCTCTTCTACAGCTCCTCTGACTTGCAGGGTCCCGCAAGGCTCTATTCTAAGCCCTCTGCTTTTCAATCTTTATATGTTGCCTCTGAGATTTATTTTTAATAAATATAAGATTCCTTTCCACTGTTCTGCTGATGACATTCAGGTATATCTGCCTATTAATTCGATTAATTCACTCCAGTCACTCCTGAGCTGTCTGAATGACATAAACATCTGGTTGAAATTAAATTTCCTGAATCTAAATGAAAGTAAGACAGAAGTCCTCAGCTTTGGTAAAGACATTTCTCCTGACAATCTTGGTCCTGTGGCTTCATACAGCTGCTCTGCTGTTAAAAAGTTGGGTTTCATTTTTGATAATGTGTTTAAATTGGACAGGCAGATAAACTCAGTGGTTTAATYGAGTTTTTTCCAGTTAAGACTTATTGCTAAGRTGAAGCCATACCTCCCAAACAAAGACCTTGAGAAAGTGATTCATGCTGTCATTACATCTGGTTTGGATTATTGTAATTCTTTGTTTGTTGGTTTAGACAAATCTTCTCTGCATCAGTTACAAGTTGTCCAGAACGCAGCAGCTCGTCTTTTAACAGGAACTAAAAAACATGAACACATATCCCTGGTTCTGGCTTCTCTCCATTGGCTTCCTGTTCAGTTTAGGATCARTTTTAAGACTTTATTTCTTACTTTTAAAGCTTTAAAAGGTCTGGCCCCATCCTACCTGTGTGAGTTCATTAACATCCACACTTCAGTTAGAGCACTTCAGTCCAAACAGTTTATAGATGGTCCTGGATCCAGATTAAAGTTTAGAGGTGATCAGGTCTTTGCAGTTTCTGACCCAAAACGCTGGAATGATTCACCTCTTAGCATACAGACTGCTGATACTGTTGAGACTTTTAAATCTCTAATTAAAACTCACTTTTATTCCCTGGCCTTTCATTCTGGTAGAGTTTGAGATTCTTTTAAAGATAATGTTTTTAATGTTCTTTTTTTCTATTTTAAATTGATCTTTTTGTTTACATTTCTGTGTTGTTCTGTTGTTTTAGTCATTTGGCTGAATTGTGAAGCAGTTTGGTGAATTTTTGTTGTTTTTATGTGCTGTATAAATACATTGACATTGTCTCTCACCTGACTCGCAGACCACCGAGCCGGGCTTCAGCTCCAGCATCATGGTGATGATGGAGATGTCCGTGGTGTAGAGAATCTGGGTGCGGTGAGGCAGCGCCGCTGTCCAAAGTTCTGGTGTGGGGTGCAGCACCAGCACCCACCCGCCTTTGCTGCAGGTAACCTTTGACCCGTACCGCCGGCCAATGAAGTCCGAGGAGTGCCAGATGGCTCCGTAGCGGGTCTGCGTCTGAGCGCCGTGCTGCACTTTGACGGGCATCAACGAGTTGTGGCCCAGGTAAACGATGACAACGTCTCCGTCTCGGATTACATCGGAATATTCTACAAAATTCATGGCAGGCCCGTCGCTCTGCAGGGACAAAACCAGGTGTTCACCTCTGCTAGTAATAAATATATTTTAAAATGTTTCTCACAACCAACAGAACAGTTCAGACAACTAGAATAACAACAATAGTAACTAGAGAAATAACATTTCCTGAGAAAACGCTAGTGTGAATGCTTCATGCTGAAAACATCAGATGAAAGCTGCTGAAATTGAGCTGAAAATATTTGATATGAAAACTGTTTATACTCCGTATTAACACTTTAATTTGAAAAGCTGAAAGCAAAAATGCCAAACTTTGCAGAAAAACAGTAAAAAGGAGCACAAATCTAGTTGAAAACAGAAAACAGCTAAAWGCTAAAATAACTGAAAACATCTGTAAGAAGCATAAATAACACTAGGTAGCAGAAAAAAGCATAAAAAGTAGAAAAAAGCAGAAGAATAGCAGAAAGCAGCAGATCTATAGCTAAAGTAGCATAGAATAGCTAAAATTAGCATGAAATGGGCTAAAGATAGCAGGCACAAGTTTAAATTAGCACCCAGCACAAGAAAATGTTGTAAAATTTAGTAAAAACTAGCACAAAAAAATGCWTATAAGTCCAAAAATATTTGTCGTAAAATGGCTAAAACAGCTGAAATGTTCAGTAAAACAGCTAAAAGGTAGCAGAATTTTTTTTTAAATTAGCTTAAGCATGCATAAGAAACTCAAGTTTGCTGAACTTAGCTGAAAAAAGTTGTAATAGCTACAAAAAAACGTGTATTTAGCAGTTAAACATTAGTTAAAATTGCAGCAAATACCTGAATACAGCAGAAAGCGTCTGTAAGAAGCTAAATAGCACAAAGTAGCAGAAAAAATCACTAAAAGGAAAAAAAACCGCAGAATATAATAAGCAGAATTTTAGCTGARATAGCAGAAAAATGTAAAATTAGCAAAAAAGTAGCTAAAAGCTAAAGTTTGTTATCGTTGGCTAACGGTGGTGTAAAAGCTTCAGACCAGCTGTCTCTTTCATCCACTTTTATTACCTGCTCAGGTAAATCTGCAAACATAAAATCTGTTTTTATAAAAGCTTGTGAGCTTGAATGTTTGCGGTAGATAAATATGCTAACATTAGCTTAGCTTGTTGTTTGTGTTATCGTTGGTTTTTTAGAACCACATGAAGTTAAAAACTTTRGACAACTTTCTCTTCAAGTTGTCTTCCTGACCTGTTCGGGTAAAGGTTTTGTGCTGGGTTGTGTTTTTTTTTTCTTCTTTATATAAAACTTTCTTAAAACTTGTAGCTAGTTAGCTGTACGCTAATGCTGTTAGCAGAGTAGTTGGTTTATTTAGGCCACACAGAACCATTAAAACCATTGGACCCACCTTCTCTTTCAGATGTGAAACAAATAAAAGTAAAGCTCCTTAAACGACAGAGTTCAGCGGCCGTAAAAAGTAACAGATAACTTCATTCATTCATTCATTCATTGCCTGAACGTGGTTTTGTTTGAAGCGGAAGTTGAATCAGAAAGGACCGGAAGTTGAAGCGAGTCGGCCAATCCCCGGTACCGAACTCCGAACAGACTGTTCCGAAAGACTGATTTGGTGATTTTTAATGCTTAAAATCCCACAAACATGTATTTTAATAAATTTAAAAAATGTTTTTAATGTTGTAAAAAATATAAAAATAAAAATTATTATTCTCAGCAAAAGGTCAAACTTTTTATATTTACTTTAAAAAAATGTACTAGTTTGATTAAAGTGTTTTAATTTTTCTGAGCTGCAGTTTTCATGTGTTTGTATTAGTTAATATAAGCTGAGGTGAGGCAGAGGCAGGCTAAAGCTACGTGTCCAATGAAATGAATGGACTACAAATACCGACCAATAAGAACGGACGTGTTCGGTTATAAACCCTGATCTGAGCCCGGAGAGCTGCTCTGACGGGTCTGCAGCTTTTCTGAGCGCCTCTCCCCGACAGACAGGACCGCTGCTCATCTATTCATTCAGCAGACCGGAAACCTCAGGTAGGACAGTTTCTTCTATGACTGTTGAAGTTTTTCTCAGTTGTAGATGGATTGGGAACACCTGGTCCAGTCGGTTCTGGTTCTGTATTAAAGACAGCTTGTCACCGTGTCTSTCCTCCAGGAAGCAGACATGCCTTTCGGGAACACGCACAACCAGCTGAAACTGAAGTTCTCCTCGGAGCAGGAGTACCCGGACCTCAGTAAACACAACAATCACATGGCCAAGGTCCTGACCCCTGACCTGTACGAGCAGCTGAGGAGCAAACAGACCCCYAGTGGCTTCACTCTGGATGACGTCATTCAGACTGGAGTAGATAACCCAGGTAAAAACCTTCAATTTATTAAAACTTTTTTTTTTTCTTAAAAACCCAGCGGTTCTGCTTCTTTTTGCACTGTGACCTCAGAGGACAAACCGGGTCTGGACCTCAGACATATGGAGAAGTGATTCTCAGAAACTTCCCTCCTCTCCTCCAAACGGGCCTCTTTCAGAACATTATTGCGTCATCTTACAGCAGATGCTTCAGATTAACGGTTACATAATTTATGAAAAGCAGCTGCAGATAATCCTCAGGCTTCAGGTCCACGAGGACTCGGTCCTCCGTCCTGCCGGTGGGACTCTGTCCTCTGTCCCTTACCAAACAGCAGTATACTTAAAGTTCATTTTATTAAGTATAAGTTTAAGTATTTCAAGTATACAAGGCACCATGTACTTGTAGTGTATTAGAAAGTATACTCATTTAATACTTGTTCGTACTAAATTGGGACTTTTTTTATTTATAAAAGTATACTTTAAGTCGTTTGTGTCTTTTTAAGTTCATAAACTTACCAAAAAGATGTATACATGAAGTTCATTTTATTAAGTATACCCGAGTATAAGTTTAAGTATATAAAGTATACTAGGCACCATGTACTTGTACTGTTTTAGAAAGTATACTCATTTAATACTTGTTTTTACTAAATTGGGACTTTTTTTTAATAAAAAGTATACTTTAAGTATWCCGTTTGTGTCTTCATAAACTTACCAAAAAGAAGTATACGTCATTAAATATCCTAAAGTATATAAAAGTGTATTTCCCTAAGTATCAGTTTACTGACAAGTATAGTTCTAGGACTAAATTGGCCCACAATAAATTTATAACAGTATACTCAGAAGTATACTGAAAGTAATCTAAGTATACTTTTAGTTTAATCTTGAAATATACTAAAAATAATCTGTTAAAATGTACTTTGTGTACTACTAATGTTTATGCCAAACGTTTAAACGTTAGTATAAACTAAGTATACTTAAACTTCTAGTATACTTTTAGTACAATAGTGTAAGATAAACTTGATTAAGTATATCTCAGATAAGTACATAAAGTAAACTTTTAGTTTAAATGAGTATACTTAACAGATACTTGCATAGTTTTTGCTGAGGGTTAACCTGTGACGAGAGGCCACGCCCATCGGCTTCACCATGGATGATGTCATCCAGACAGGGGCTGATGGTTCTGCTACAGTAGACCCCACCCTGAGACCTGTGAGGATGTAGGGTCTGTGTGTGACCCTGTTGACCCTGTGTTCAGGTCACCCCTTCATCATGACGGTGGGCTGCGTCGCAGGAGACGAGGAGACCTACGAGGTCTTCAAAGACCTGCTGGACCCTGTGATTCAGGACCGACACGGGGGATACAAACCCACAGACAAGCACAAGACGGACCTGAACTCTGCCAACCTGAAGGTATCGCTGCTTTTACCCCCCCAGGATCCTGACTGGACCTGGACCAGATCTGTACTCAGCTCTGTGTGTCTGTTTCAGGGTGGTGACGACCTGGACCCCAATTATGTCCTGAGCTCCAGGGTCCGAACGGGTCGCAGCATCCGTGGTTTCTGTCTGCCCCCCCACTGCAGCCGAGGAGAGCGGCGGGCTGTGGAGAACCTCTCAATTGAAGGTAAAGACCTCCTGGGTCCTGATGGGTCCTCAGCAGGGTGTGGTTTAGTGGAACAGGTCTTGGACTCTGTGGTACTGAGCGCCCCCTGCTGGTGACAGGAGGCAGCTACAGGCTGGAGTTATAACCTTCAGTTTGAACCAGGGTTATTAGTTAACTAATAATGAAAACTGAAATTGGTAAAAACATTTTAGTTAATTGAAATAAAATGGAAAAATGATAACAAAAACTGTACAATATTTTTATAAAACTAACTGAAATAAATAGACTATCCTTAGTTTTAGTATTAATTTATTTTTGAGCYGTGTGGACTGAATAAACGAATCACTTTCTCTTCCTTCAATTTGAGCAGTTTTACATTAGCTGTGGGCAGCTTACAGCACATCATGGTCCATAATGTCACCTGTTTATGGTCTGCTGCTCAGAGCTCGCCTGAAAAATGACAACAAAAGTTGGGAGAAAGCAGTAAAATCCGTGTAGCAACGATCAAATCCAACCTTTTAATAATGTCTTCTGGGTGCAGAGAATCTACTTCCAATGAGTATGATGTCCAGACTGGGAGATAAGTTTGGGGATGCTCCCATTTATTATATAATTTTGAATATTGAATGTTAATAAAGTCCAGAGTGTCKGTCTAAGGCAGCGTGCAAAATGGATGGAAATTATGGTAAAAATGTAAATATGAGAGGTTAACCAGCATTTAACAGTGTTAAACTGTGACCTCCCTACACCCTCACCTTGACACCTGTATAGATTTCCCTCCACACCCCCACCTGTGGTGGAGCAAAAAATATAGATCAAAGTGTCAATCCATATAAACCAAACACCGTCACCAAACTGTACTATGAAAACAAAATAAGAACCCAAAACACCAGAACTACAAATGGCTCCTATAGTCCAGTTTGAGGTTCTTTGAATATGAGTGAGAAAATTAAAAGTGTCTTGTAGTGGAAACAGGTAATAAAATAGTTACTTATTCTCTTGAGAAGTATTCCATCTGAGTATCTTGACAAATTAGCTTCTCTTAGTAGTTCCCATAAAAACCAAGCTGTAGCCCAGCCAGGCAGCACCAGGATCCAGACAAATATTGTCTCCTTAAAACAATCGTCCTTTGTTGGCAAATATGAGTTACAGGATTATTTTAGGAAGGTGTCATAACTAACTGCTTTGACTGATGATCTAATAGCTGCTGGTTAGTTCAGAGATTAACCCAGCCATGAGCGCCACCTTGAGGGCCTCAAAACAACAACAGCTTTTAACTTTGTCATGTTTGTCACTAATATGAAGAGCAGCTTCTGGTTCTACCAGGCAAAAGTTTAAAAAGGTTATATTTTCTTTTGTACTTTATCAAATTTAGTTTTTTTTTTCATTTGAAACATTTACATTTAACATTTTTGAATGTATTTATTACCACAATTTTATTTATATAATTGTCTATTTTTGTTTAAAAAATGTTATTTTAGTGTTAAAGCCTGAGTGGTCTGACTCTTGTATTTGTTCAAATAATTATGGGCAGGTTACAATATGAAAAAAAAAAAATTTTTCATAATCATGTGTCATGTGGTTATTTGACAGGAGTTTTTTTTTTTAACTAAGTGTATTTAATTTAGTACAATGTAAAAACAATACAAATTAAACCAAGATTTAGAATAATTGATCCGTATGGTAATGTCTGTCTGGGCCTCGTGCCACTTTATGTTCAACAAATTGGGTCCTGAGGTTGAAGGTTAAGAAGCCCTGGGTTAGTTCAGTGGTTCCCAAACTTTTTATCTTCTGACCCACAAAATATTCATGGCAAAAACTTGTGACCCCAAATATTACTGGTCTGAGTACATGAACTTTGTTAATAACTCTAAAAACACAGGCTTTTTGACAATCTAAACAGCTTATACACAAAAACAAATACTTTATACTTTTTTATGTGCTTTTGGAATAGTTATAGGGAAAATATTACATCAGCAATTATTTTATTACCCTTTAAATTGATTTCTGGAGATTATCCAAGGTGCTTCATGACCCATAATTGGGTCCCAAGTCCAACTTTGGGAACCAAAGTGCASTGGTTCCCAAACTTTTCAGCTTTTGACCCACAAAATAACAGCAGTAGAGACCTGAGCCCCCAGATATTTTTGGATGATAAACATTTGCATCAGGTCAACAAAATATGGGCATAGTAACAATATTTTTATACTACATTTATCCATTTTAAATATACTAACCTCACTCCTTTTGTAAAAACTAAGACAAAAATGTAATTAATTCAGAAAATCTTTTCAGGACCCCACCTTCATGTTTCAGGACCCCAACTTTGGGAACCACTGGGTTAGTTAACTCACAGGAACACTTCAAGCTGGTTTGGCAAATATGTTGATTCAAACTACAAAAAAAAAAAAAAAAAACTAAAACTAAGCAATAAAAAAAAACAATGAAAACTAGCAAAGTAACGCAATTAAAAGAAAAAATGTCACAATTAAATAAACTATAATGAAAAATCCAAAACTACTATAACCTTGGTTTAAACCAGAACCCAAAGCCTCATGTTGACTTTAATGATGGATTTAAGCTGAACCGGTTCTGAGCCGTTGGACCAGAACTCTCTGTAACGTGGTCCTGTTGTCCCTGAAGCTCTGGACGCTCTGACCGGAGACCTGAAGGGGAAATACTACGCCCTGAAGAACATGACTGACGCTGAGCAGCAGCAGCTCATCGACGACCACTTCCTGTTTGACAAGCCCGTGTCTCCTCTGCTGCTGGCCTCAGGGATGGCCCGGGACTGGCCCGATGCCAGGGGGATCTGGTGAGACTCCATCTTTATTCCCATCTTTTAATATTTTCACTGAGTCCAGAGCAGAGGTGGGTAATCCTGGTCCTGGGGGGGCTGCAGCCCTGCATGTTTTACTTGTTCCTCTGCTCCAACACACCTGATATGAATAAATGATTATCAGGCTTCTGCTGTACGGAGGACCAACACTGACATAATTAGAAATAAAAGCAGATTTATATGAACCACTAAATATACTTAATGTGCACCAATTAGAGAACTTTATCTACTGTTTTATATTTTTAATTGACTTTCATATTTATTTTTCAAGGTCATTTTCAATAAATTACACATATATACATTTAAGAGACAAAGGCATGTACAAAAAAGGAAAAACTATATAAAATGTATTTAAAACTGTAAAATTTTAAATTGTTTAAAATATAAAATGTATCGGAACTAAGCTGGAAAAATATGGTCAATTAATAAATTGTATTATAAAACATGAGGTAAAGTTATTTTAAATTTATTTGGTGCATTTTAAATGTATTTATTCATTTAAAGGTTCATTTATTTATTTCTGCTTTTATTTCTAATTATGTCAGTGTCGGTCCTCCATACTGCAGAACTTGATTCAGGGACTGAATCAGGTGTGTTGGAGCAGGGAAACATGCTGCGGCCCTCCAGGACCAGGACTGCCCACCCCTGGTCCTCCAGGACTGGTTTGCTTGGAGGGAATTAATGACTGAAGCAGAGGAACAAGTAAAACCTGCAGGACCACGAGAACCAGGACCTGGTTCTCGTGGTCCTGCAGGTTTTACTTGGTCTAAAGTAAGGGTTTTCTTCAGGCACAACGACAACAAGACATTCCTGGTGTGGGTGAACGAGGAGGACCACCTGAGGGTCATCTCCATGCAGAAAGGAGGGAATATGAAGGAAGTGTTCACCCGCTTCTGTACTGGACTCACCAAGGTGGGGGCGGAGCCTAAACCCTCCTCCAGCTGATTAGAACCATTAACGAACGTAAAACCACGACTCTGTGTTCAGATCGAGAGCCTGTTCAAAGAGCGGGGCCACGCCTTCATGTGGAACGAGCACCTGGGCTACGTCCTCACCTGTCCGTCCAACCTGGGGACGGGCCTGCGTGCAGGTGTGCACGTGAAGCTGCCCAACATGAGCAAACACGCCAAGTTTGAGGAGGTCCTCAAGAGACTGCGGCTCCAGAAACGTGGAACAGGTGAGCGGATTCGTGTCATAAAACCTTTCCTCTCCTCGCTCGGTGTCTCTAACCTGAGCGTTTTGTCCTTCAGGGGGCGTGGACACGGCTGCTGTGGGCGGAGTCTTCGACATTTCCAATGCCGACAGGCTGGGCTTCTCTGAGGTGGAGCTGGTGCAGATGGTGGTGGACGGAGTCAAGCTGCTGGTGGAGATGGAGAAGAAGCTGGAGAAGGGTCAGTCCATCGAGGACCTGGTCCCGGCCCAGAAGTAACGCCTGTGGACCGGTGGCGCCGCCGCCTTTACATTTCTGTATTTAAGATGAAACTGTTCTAGGAAATAAAGTTTATGTTGAAACTCTGACTTGTTCTCTGAGGGTCAAACAGAGTCTGAGAACCTGAACCGGGTCAGAGCCTGATGAAACCACGTTTACATACACTTCAAATAAAACTGACATTAAATCTAAGCTTTGTATTTGTTACGTCAGGATTCAGCTGGAACCAAAACTTTACAGTAAAATCACAAGTTTCCATCTTTAACCCGCCTGACTCAGGTCCAACGTTCTGGTCCCGTTCCTCCTGACTGAACCCACCGGTCCTGAGGCCTCAAAGAGCCTGTGACAAGCAAATCCTTCAAATGCAAAAAGTTGAAGAAATAATTTTATATTTAAGAAATTTGGCATAAAACCCTTGATTTTACCCATTGTCACATGACTGGCATATTTACCTCCGCCTAGGGTGAGGTAATGTTTTCGGTCATGTCTGTCTGTGGACAACATTACTCACAAACTTGTGTACAGATTGTCAGGACATTTTTACCACATGTGTGTATTGGGCCAAGGAACACACCTTTAAATTTTGGTGATGTTCCAGATCACGATGTGGATACAGGAATTTTATTTTAACACTCCGATCGGCAAAGCTGTGATGCTTTCACAGGGCTTCTGTAAAAAAACAGTGAGCTGGATTGGACAGCACTGACTTCAAACTTTATAAAAGTAATTTTAAAACCACATTTAATGATGATTTTTTACCATTATGTGCATTTACAGGAAGTGTGTGACTGCACCATGAAACGTATTTTTCCCATTTTCTCAAACACACCACATTGTCGGTAGGCTTGTATAACATCGGGTGACGAACAACTTTTTTTTTTCCCCCATTGGAAAGAGTTTGTGCAGCCCTGATGTATTTTATGAAACTGGACATTTTATAGAAACTGGATGATTTCTCAAGCCATTCGGGTCTGGGGACCCCCTCATAAACCCCAAGCTGTTTTAAAATATCTTTTATTTCAACCTCTAAATGCCATGGGAATGTATGTTTTGGTTTTTTTTTTTTTGTTTTATTAGTTC